CATATAAAGTTTGTAAATTGATGACATATTTTTAAATAAAAGAGATCACTAAAGAGTATTATGAAAGTATGTGAAGTCATTCTATTAATAGTTTATATTTCATATATTATACCTAAACTCATTCCTAATTTATTAAAGTTTATAAAGCCAGTGTTTGAAACATAAAATGGCAAACAGACACATTAGAAAGATCAAGATTTGTACTGGGAAAACTAGGTTAGGGGAGAATATTCCAGAATATTCAAGAAGCATCATCCAGAGAGCTAGCTGTTCCAGAAGCCTAGATTCCAGCACCCACATCTGGCAGCTCAGCCTGTAGTTCCAGCTGCAGGGATACAACCCCATCTTCTGGCCTCTAAGTGTACCTGCATATATGTGGCATACACATGCACACACAAGTACACACATACGCGCGAGCACACACACACACACTTTAAAAATAACCTCATACACAATTGAAAGAACAATGAAAACCAAGTGCATGCGTGTGTGTGTGTGTGTGTGTGTAATTTTTGTGATAATCATTCAATGTGAAATAATAGGTGGAAAGACAAAGCTTTTTCTGATAGTGTGAAGTTCATATTAAGATAATATTGATATTCTTCAAAGCCATGTGGAGAAGCAAAAGCTCACATTATATATAAAGTGTGATTGGAGGCAAAGAGATTTGTTTTAATACTGAAATAATAGGAATAATAAGATTCATATGAGTGATTTTATTACTCAAACTTAAATTACTACAAGTTTTTACTTTCTGATCTTTTTTTTTCCTGAATGGTGATTATGTTGGATGCTAGTGGTGAATCTGGAGAGCCCTGTGTTCAAAGGTATAGCTACATTTGTAATTGAATCAAAACTAAATAGATTAATTGGCAATTGTATTAGGGTCTCGCATAGATCTTAACACCTGCAGTTACATTTGGAATGATACTCTGGGGAGTTCAGGTAAATTTAGGATTTCTGAAGCTTAAACTGTTGTGAGTTTATCATTCAAAGACTTTCTAATGGTGTTGGCAAAGAGGTTGGATGTTGTTAAACTTGTTTGGGCTGCTGAAGAAGATTTTTCAATCTGCTTTGATAAACAGCTTTGTGAAATCAATGAAACTTGATGGCTTAAGCATTGTCTTGTATACATTGCCTGATTGTAAAATCGATTGACAAATGAAAGTTGTGAGACATTCAATGAGAGCTTCATGAAGAGAACTACAAATGATTTTTATGCTTCCATCCAAACTAATTCCTTAAAAACCAAGTCTGCCTTTCAAGATAAAAGCTATGCTTGATATACCATCGATTCTACTCAACTCTGATCAAAGCCAAATAGAAAGAAATGCCTTACTGAGACAAAAATATTTCCTTAATTGAACAGTATATAGTTTTAAAAAACCCACAAAACCTTCAAGTATAAGAGTGTTTGGAATAAAGTATTAAGATGAGCATGACTTTTCGTTCATTGGAAATTCTGCATTTCCTTCAGAAGTATTTCTAAACATAGTTATTGTAATTTTGCATTTGAATAAAGTATATATGCAACACTAGTGATCTTTATGTTTTTAAGATATTTTGGTTATTTTAAGATCATCTAGATGTTTATTATTAGAAGATGACTTTGCTCTAAAAATATTTGTTTATTTTTATTTTATATTAGTGAATTTTTTGCCTGAATTTAAGTACATGCATCATATTTGTGAAAGTGCCCATAGATGCCAGAAGCGTTTACAGGAACTAGATTTACAGCTAATTTGAATGTTTCAACTTTTGAGAATATTTTAATGGTAATCTACAATGAGTTTAACCTTGTGCTGGATAGTTTATGTCATGTGAGGGGTGGAAATTTCACTTTAGATGGTAATCTTAACATTTGGCTGTAGGGTATTAGTTAATTAGTCAATTAACACTGTAGGTGGGGCCACCACTGGGATGTGGTGCTCAATTTTATAAGAAATCAGGCTAATCAAGCAATGAGGAACCAGACCATAAGCAGCACCCCTTTCTGGCCTTTATTCACCTCCTGCCTCCTTGTTCCTGCCTTGTTTAAATTTCTGTCCTGATTTCCTTTAATGATGAAATATGATGTGGAAGTATAAGGCAAACAAATCCTTTCTTCTTCAACTTCTTTGGTCATGGTGTTTCATCATAGCAATAGTAATTCTAACTAAGCTACAAACCTAAAACTATATAATTCCAATGACTTCTTCATGCTTTTCATTTCTTTTTTCATAATGGGAAAATAGAGAGTATGTAACAATATTTAAATATTGTAACTAGAGTATAAAATTCAGTGTGGATATGATACTATTACATAAGTTATAAAGTATTCTTGTATAAAATCCTTGGTAATAAAAAGTCGTTAGATTTAGCCCTCATCCTTGCATTTCTTGAAGCAGGCTTGAGGGTAACTTGAAGTAAGGAAGCAAAACTGGCTCAACCAACATTGAAAATACAGTTGCGACAAGGTGGAGCACAACATGTGAAAATATAGTCCCATGGCTAATCTTAATTTCTAAGGAAGGAGTGAAATGTAATCTTTATTTTTAGTGTATGTATGTCTATCTGAAAACTCCCCACTCTAGTACTGTGTAGAAAGGCAGGTGTTGGAATGCACAGGTATAAATAAATTTCAACATGGTATGTGAGGAATTGGACACTCCAGAAGGGGACACAGGGAGGTGAACAGGAGTGAAAAACTCTTAAGGCCCTGGACTGAAAGGAAATAATTTTTACGTATAAATACTGTGATTTCAAGCTTGGCATTGTGTCTTTCTTGGAAGACTAAGGCAGGTATGTTGAAGGTTTGAGGCCCATTCAGATAACATAGAGAGTTTCATACCAGCCTGTGATATAAACTCTACCTAAAAGTAAATGGGATTTCAGTGAGAAACAATCTGTATTGTGGCAAAGTATCACAGAGTAGGCAACTTAATTTAATAGTAGGTTGCTCTTTCACATATCTGGAGGTTAGAAATCTAAGACTGGCATCCCCAGGCTCATACCTGCTCTGACCTTCAGTTAGCATTCTCCCTTGCCTCTCTGTAGCTACTAATAATGGCTGTCAGAACATGGCATCTTTGGCATATTAGGTGCTTCATTCCAGCTTCGCCTTTATGGTCACAGGGCTGTCTTCCTAGGTAATTGTACTTTCATCGTGTTTCCTCCTCTGGGTATGTGAATGCCTGTATGTGCAGTATATGCACAGGTGTGTAAAAATATACTCAATAATACAACAGCATGTGAAGTCCAGAATGTCTTAATTATCCATTTTCCTATTGTTTATTTGTTTGCTTATTCTAACGCAGAATCTCTCTGAACTCTGAGCTCTTGCCATATTTGCTAGATTGGCCACTAAATCCAGGGATGTGCTTGTCTCTGCCCTGTTCAAACCCCAGTGCCAGGGATAAAATGGCGCATGAATACACCTGGTTATTTGTTTGATTGTTCTGTTATTGCATGGATTCTGGGGTGTATGAATTCAGATCCTTATCCTTGAGCAGCAAACTCTAGCCAGTGTCTGATTTCCAGTCTAGTTGTCTTCCTCTTGAATGGACCCAGAACATATTGCACCAGGACTGCATGCCATCACCTCAGCTTGATCCTATTTTTAGAAAATACTTCAGATCATCACCTCATAAAGAGAATGCTTTGCACTACTTGTGGTTTCTAAGGTTCTAGTCCATGATTTTGTGAACATGTGGGGAGACACTTCAAAGTGAATGGAATATCAGTAGGTCAAGACTACTCTTGAACTAAATTGCAATATCCCTCTCTAGGCTTTGTCTATTATTCAAAGTTTATGCAATTCACACTATCACTGTGGATTAGATCTATAATCATCTTCAAATATTTTACATTAAAATTTTGTTATTTCAATTTACTTACTGTGAAAACAAGCTTTATGACAATCTTAAATATTAAGAAACAACCCCTCAGAATATTTCCCCCTGTCTTCACTGTCCCACCCCTGTGAGCACAACACCAGGCATAGTTATTTGTTATTTCTATATATTGGACATGCGGTTGTGCATATGGATTTTCTATCAGTTTCTGCCCCCAGGATCTTGACGTTATTGGTACTTTGTTCCAGGTATACTATGTAACTACTTAAAGAATATATATTTAAAATACAGGTTTTAAGTTAATTACTAATATTGTAAAATTCACATTCCAATATTTTAGCCTATGGAAAATTGATAAGTGTATTAAATGTTAAAGACTGTATGCAGATATTTTGTGGACTGTGAGAGTGGAAGAGAGATTAGATAACAGTACACAGATAAAGAAGACATGTTGGGCGCCAATTGAAGGCAGGGTTTAAATGAGTTCACCAGACTCTAGATAAATGATAAATAGATACTTATTAGGGAAGCACTTAGACAAATAACATTAAATAACCGCCTTGTTCTTCCTGCTCCAGAAGATGCAGTCTCTGCCCTCCTATGCTCTCACCATGCTCTCATTGCAACCCAAGAGAGTGAGCCAGCTCCCCCTTTACCTTAAAAGGGGTCACTCTGAAACTATGCCCATGAAGTGTGGCCACCACGCCAAGTTCACTGGCAAAGCAAGATGTCACTATATAGAAAATAGCAAATAATTTTTAAATGTGCTGCTCTCTTCTCTAATTTTTATTTATACGGAATTAATTGGTTAATCAGAAATCTGGGCGAAGTATACATCTTGAAGTGAACTGTATTTAGATGAAATCAAATCTTCCTCTCGCATGCCTTTTTATAAGCTCAGCAAATGTGATCATTTCAGGTACCTTCTTAAAAGATACATTAAGAGATTCTATGGAAGCCACACTTTTTCTCCGTGCTTGACATGTATTGTTAAACAATAAAAAGGTAATTTCTTTCTTAAGGGACAGTGGCCTACGGTGTTCAATCAGGTTTTAAATAACTTGATGAATCTGGATAAAGTATTTAGTAATGCATTTTGTGTAAGATATTATCAATGTTCGTGTCATCTACAGGTATCTAACTTTAGGTGCATCTTTGTCTTTTCAGTGTGCGCAGGAACAGAGAATAAACTGAGCTCTCTCTCTGACCTGGAACAGCAGTACCGAGCCTTACGCAAATACTATGAAAACTGCGAGGTAGTCATGGGCAACCTGGAGATCACCAGCATCGAGCACAACCGGGACCTCTCCTTCCTGCGGGTACAGCTGTTTCTTTTTCTGTTCTTTTTTTGTGAGTGGGCATGATGTCACAATGTGCAATGGGAGCCCTGCTTCATTAGACATGGTAGCTCTACCCTTCTGCCAGGCAGCCTGTGACTGTAGTCCGAAGATAAGCAGCAGAGAGGCACCTGCGGGAAAAGACTAGGAATAGCAATGCCCAAGTGACTGATGACCGAGCTTGGAGGAGCTGCTGTCACCATTAGATTGATAGAAAGATTCTGTCAGTGTATAGCACGGGGCATACTGCAAGTCCCTCCTTTTCTGACAGGACAAGGACTAAGAGAGTCAGAGGACCAATCAGATAAGAATGGGTGGCTTTAGCTTCATCTCTTTTCTGCCTCATTTCTGTCAGTTGGAGGAGAGGACAATGGAAAGATATTGTCACCCCTCCTAATGACATTATTTTGAAACTGTAAACAATTTAAAGCAGGCTCAGAAGAAATCACAAGCACATGCATATACCCATGTATTACCTACTAAAATTACATAGAAAATGAGAACTTGGATTCTAGGAAGATAAAGCCTTAGAAGCACTCGGTATTTGAGTCCTTAGCTGTTGTTTCTAAAATGCAGTGCACAGAAACTCTCCTGGCCACATGTAAGAACTATAATGATGCTTTAGCAAAGGAAAACTAAAGAAGAAAGCTCAAACTGAGGCAGTGCAAGGAAACAGTACATGGGATCCAAACAGTGTGACAGAGATAAGGAATGCACTCCAATGACAACTGTGCTTTCTGTCTAGTGTGTGCTTCGTTTGATTTGCCCAATCATTAGATCTCACTGAAAGCCAAAGGTGTGTGTTTTCATGCATATACAGCTATGCATATCTATGTTATGATACATACCTACCATACGTTCTTTAAATAATACAATGTAGAAATGTTTATAGTTGTGTAAACCTTATGATCTTACAATACAATAATTTACCAATGATAGGGTTCTTTCAAATATTATCCTTTAGAATATGAAAGTTATATATAGAGGCTTGAGCAGCATCCTTTAAACAATGTGTCTAAAAATCTTAGGAAATACTTTGAATGTAATATTTTGAATATATTTAGGGAATATAAAATAAACAAGGCCGAAATTTCCATGTGGAACTAGAAATATTTTCTTCAAATAAGTATTTGCTGACTCCTAAATAATTTTTGTAAATGTTTATAAATCTTGTGCTAGCCCACACACATTTATAATTGCATGTTTTATTAAGAGTAATTTTAATCATTTTCTTTTTCACACTAACATATTTTATTTATGTATTTTTTGTTCTTTTATAGTACAATTATTCTTAAATGTGACATGTATTTATTTATTAACAACAGGCTTATCTACCCTACAATAGCAAGTAATTTCTTCTTGACTTCAACTGTTCTAGACACTGAGCACACACTTCTAAATAAATCACATATGACTCCTGCCTACAAGGAACAGAGCAGTGGAGATGAAGAAAAATAATGAGAGTAAAATAAAGTATTGTACTGGAGCAGTAGTGAGTCTAATGCCAAAAATATTTAGGTGATGTCAGCATCCAAGTGACATTTGATTAGGTGAAATTGACAAGGGACATTGAAAAGAAAAAAATCAACCAGTAGGCCAAGGGTAGAGCATTCCAGAGTCTCATATTGTGTTCTTGATAAGAGGTGTGTGTGTGTGTGTGTGAGTGTGAGTGTGTGTGTGTGTGTGTGTGTGTGATGAGAGAGAGAGAGAGAGAGAGAGAGAGAGAGAGAGAGAGAGAGAGAGACAAGGAAAGTAAGACAGACAGAAAGAATACCTGTATGAGATTGGCTGCCCTATTTTCTATCAGTTAGTGACATGTTATTGTAAATGGAGTTCTTAATTGATCTAGACAATAAAAAGCCAGAGTCAGATATAGAAGGAAATGCTGAGAGATCAGAGAGGGCATGCCACAGCACACCTTACCTCCTAAGTGTCTCAGAAGAGAAGAGATCAATTTCTTGTTTCTCCCTGCTTATATCCTGTTTCTGCCAAGGTATATCACTTCCTGTCTGTATGTACAGATTTCCAGACCTCTATGGTTAGCTAATGGCTAGCTGTGTTCCCTAACCCCCAGACAGGCTTTATTTGTATAAGTAAGATATTACTACATGTTATTTCTTATTGTACGCTAGAATATTCTAAAAGCCTTCTAATTTGTAATTTTATTTAGTCTAAATATCACATTCAGGCTAACCTGTCCTTATAGTAGCTTTCTTTCTCAATAGATAATTGACCAGTAGTGACACATTAAAAACAGAACCTAAGCAATAAATTTCTGGTTACTTTACATCATACCAACAATCCATATAAGATTTGAATTGAGGAGTCAAGCTGTAACATCATGCCAACCGTTGTCTGGGATCACATAGCCCTTAGATGTGCTCCTGTGATCATGATTTACAGAACAACTTTTCATAGTTGTTCACAATTTCCCTCCTGGAAGAACAGCTTAAATCTGTCATGCATGTGGAGAGGCATAACAGATATCAATTTTTTTCTGGATATATTCCTGTCATTACGAGTCACAAAAATTACTTTTGTCTTTAAAGAAATATCCCATTCTTATTTTCATATGAAAGCAACATGGTGGTTCTGACATTTGTTTCTTTATGAAAGCACTCTCGCTTCTGTGACATGTGATAGCAGGTTACCTACAGGTCAAACTTACATCATAACTGATCACTCAGTATTTAGCAAAGTACCTTAGTATACTAGGTAATTTGTTTACTACAGATGTCAACAGGTATGCTTCTGTGTGATACATTTTTGTGTATATGTTTTTGCTTATTGTGCATGTGTATGGGTGTGCAGATGAATGCATACACATATGTCTATGCAGACACCAGAGGCTGACATCAGAAATCTACCTTAATTGCTTCTCCACAATATTTCCTTAAGACCGTTTCTCTCACTGCACCTGGAACTCAGCAGTTTGGTCCTACTAAGCACCAGAGCTCCTTCTTTACAAACCTCCTCACTGCTAAACTTGCATTTATGTTATGCTCTGGTCAACACAATCATGGGGTGTTCTCAAGATCAAACAGGTTCTCACACTTGTCCAGAAAGCTCACTGCTGACTGATTCTCTTCCCATCCCCAGCGCATAATTGTGAAAACTATTGATCTGTTATAGAGGTTTCTTTTGTGGTACTGTGTTCTCTAAACAACATGAAAGTCTCTTTTCATGGCCTTGTTATTTCAGTGCCAACATACCCACAATGCTAGTTACATGAGTAAAAAGTACAGGGTGTGTCAATTAGAAATTCCACCCAGGAGTATTTGGTATTATAACCAATAACATTCAGTTATTGTATCAGTTAACACCTTGTCTCCTTTGGTAACACCTTGTCTTGTGGTTCAAATGTCAAAGAGAAATGAAAAGCCAGCAGATTTGAGCCAGCACTCTGAAACAGACACACAGAACAGAGAAAGAGAGCATTTACCCAGATTATTAATGTGAGACTCACTCTAGTTGTGCCCATGAGATACTTCTGCAACTTGATTATCAGTTTATGATTTCTACCTTTCCCCATTTGACTGGATAAAAGTTATTTCTTTCAGTATAGCTGAAGCACTCCAACTAGTACCCCTCTAAAGATCTCAAAAACAAACAAACGAACAAACAAATAAATAAATAGGCCTTTGAAATTAGATTGAAAACAGGATGTGGACATAATTTAGTTGATGGGGTGCTGGCCTAGCCAGCAGAAGGTCCTGGGTTTCATCCTCTATATCCAGTAAAGTGTAAAACCTGGGTGTCTGTCAGGGTGGGGGAGGGAGCATGTGCAAGTGCTGGCAAGAGGAGCAGAAAATCAGGTTCAGTGTCTTTCTTGGGCAATAGAGTCAAGGTCATCCTGGGAATAAAGAGAGTCTTCTAAACAAACATGGAGGATGAAGAGAAAGAGAGGTGGAGGAAGAGAAGGATGAGGTTGGAGAAATAAAAGTTGTGTTTTGATCCTTTTAGGATCACTGGGATGCTTTGGAAAGCCTTGCCTTTTTCTTTCATTCATTCTTTCTTTCTTTCTTTCTTTCTTTCTTTCTTTCTTTTCTTTTTCTTTTTTTTCTTTTTTGGTTAGGCAGCATCAGTTTTGATGAAATACATTTCAATGAATTATTTTCAAGAGACTTTCATTATAGAAAAGAGTCTCCTTTTCATGCAACCTCCTTTTTCTTAATTTCTTTTTGGAAGGAAAAATAATCATGTTGACTGTTTTTAACATTCGACTGCTAAGCCAGCACATAGTTGGCTAGGAAAAAAGGCTCTAAAATTTATTTTATCACCACAAGGTTAAGGCATAAAATAGAGAGCAACAAGGCATAAAAATTACAGATTTTGTGTTATTGTCTACACTTTGTGAACTCTCTAAGACAAGCGATGGTGTAGGCAATAATGGGAATGAACCATTAGACCTCTTCCTTATTAGGATTCCGGCCAGCTTCTCCTCCTTTGTCATACATTGGTCTTCCTGGCATTCAGTAGTTTAGCTCTGCTAAAAAGGTACATGACCCTTCAGCTTTTATAGCTTAGATTTATTTTTCTTTTTTTATATATCCATGTTAGCAAATAGTTATTAATTGTTAGCTACTTGTAAATACTGTGGTCTGGTATGTGCAGTGTTCATAATACACTTCATCCTCTGTTGTAATCTATGGCTTCATTTAGCTGTATGTACATGGTTTTGAAATAATCTACATTAAGTCTATAAAAGAATAATCTTAATACTTGGTGTTGACTTGGAATAGTAAAAATGTCACTAATTCATTTGACTCATGTATGCTATAATCCAAGTAATCACTATACATGAAAATGAATAAAAATAAATTAATACAGATATTAAAATAACAACAACCTTCTACCATCTACCTATTTATCTATCTATCTATCTATTTATTGTGGTCATCTATCTACCTATCTAGATTATCTAGATATACACACTTTATTTGATACTGATCTTGAGAAGTGTAAAAAAAGCACAATTTGTA